ACCATAAGTACTTACAAAAAGAGAATAATTAGAATAAGATGCTACTGTGTTTCCCCCAAAATAAGACCCGGTCTTATTTATTTTTTTTGCCTTCAAAATAGGCACGTGAACTTATTTTTGGGTTGTCTTTTCCACTCACCTTGCCCTGGTGGCACTGACAGCCCCGCCCAGCCGGCCCACTTTTTCTGTCACCGAAGGAAATGCGTCTGCAGCTTAGAATGGAGCTCCGGCCTGCATTTAAGGCCTCTGAAGCCGAGAACCGAGCTCCGGATTGAATCCGTAGCTCAGTTCTTGACTGCAGAGGCCTATCTGGAAGGCCTATGACAGCAAAATGCAGGCCAGAGCTCCATTCTCAGCTGCAGAGGCATTTCTTTCGGCGGCAGAAGTGGGCTGGCAACGCAAGGCAGCTGTCAGGGCATGGGAGGCCTGGCTGCAACGGTAAGCAGGTTAGGGGGGCACAGGGGAGCTCTACCCGCCACCCCGACCCTAACTTGAATTTTAGGCATGTGCCTCTCCCCAAAACTAGGGCTTATTTTTGGGGTAAGGCTTATATTAAGCCCACCCCCAAAAATCAAGCTAGAGTTTATTTTGGGGGTAGGTCTTCCAGGGAAACACAGTATAAGAAGTAGAAAATACAGTGGCAAACTTGGGATGAATATTTTTCATGATAATTTTTATAATAGAAATTGTGTAACTAAGAACCCTTACAGGATGATCATGATACTAAAGACAGAGAATAAATGTGACTAGAGGAAACCACAATTTTGCACTGAAGTAGGAAGTTGTTTCAGGTTTGAAGGCACATTGGAAGGAGTTTGGGGACTCATCTTCAAAATAAATGCAGTGAAGACGTTAGTCACAGACTAGGGCCAGAACAAGTTTAAATAGATTAAATTTCATAAAATACATTTATGAAATTGTATAAGAAATTATTAAAAACCGGTGTAATTGTAAAATATATTCTCCCCATTCTCATAAAAAATTGAATTTTTAATCTGACGCTAATAAAAGGAATAGTATATTTCCTTCTAACTGCAAAATGAAATTATTTCCAAACTATACTTATAAATCAACTTTAACCATCTATAATTCACTAAACTCAATTAACATAAATATTATTTTCCATCCTTACTGAGATGAGAAGAAATTTTTTACCATCCCAGAAATTCCTATGAAAGGGCTGCAATATTTCAATTATTAAACAAGAATCCACAATCCCAACAACCTTTTCCCGCTCTTCCAATTCATTTTAAAATGTATTTTCAATTCATGTCAAGGGAGGGATCACAGGGACTTTCCAGCAATCTTTATTTTTCATATCCCTACCTCTTTTATCCAGAGGCAAGGATATGAAAGATGTGCAAGCCATTGATTTCTGTCCTCAGCCGGATCCAAAGTACAATGGATATCTCAGTGGGCAGACTGATTGTGACTGTAATAAGTGTGAAGTCTGGTAAATGTTAAGGAAGCTACTGTTGCTGCTTGCCTGCATGAACTGTGTTGCCCTTTCTTCTGACTGCTCCAGGAACCCTGTATTGTTTTTTATTGTCTTTATTTTTATTTGTATTTTATATTAAGAAAAACACTTTTAATGTATGTTTTTTAAAAAAGTGGTAAGAAACAAGATGATGAGAGAACGGGGAAAAGCTTTCTGGCAATGGCTTATAAAGTAGCAAAAGGCCAAAATAGTGAATAGAAAGTGCTATAGTTGGGGGGGGGGGGAGGATAACCATTTTTCAGTAGCTGTCTTACTAAATTGTTATTGTCCTTTCATATCTCTTCCTTAGTGAGATCTTTACTCACTTTTGGTAAATATTGTAGAAACGAATCAAATAGCAGTGGCAATGAAGGATGTTAAGGAGAGAAGCTGCTTCTTATTGCCAAGCAATAAAGGTCCACAAACTGGGTTTGCCCAACTGAATAAACCCAATCTGCTACTATTTACCACTGGTATTGTGGCAGATAACTAAAGAAATACTGGGTATTCTCAGCTAAGTAAACAGATCTTTATGCTTGTGGCTAACAGATCCTGGATTTTTGTCCAAAAAAGTATACACAACTAAAAGGTAAAAGGTTGGCAAGGGAGAATGTTTAGCCAATTTTATCCTAAACAAACATCTTCTGTGCATCCATCTAGGATGAAAAATTAAAAAGCATAGAGATGGAGTCCCTGTTTTGTGAAGTGAAACAAGACTTTCGAAATCTCCAAACCCAGAATCTTCTAGGTTTGGTTTCAGAGCTTGATCACTCGACATAGGTAGTTAATACAAATCTAAATAAATAAATAACATGGATCCAAGAAATGATCAACTTTCTTAATTGAGACAGCATTCTAGACCTTAAAATGATACAAATAGCAGATGAAGATAAAGTGTTCCTATGGTTGTCATTATTGAGCCTCATAAAGCCTCATTGCTATACATTTTGGTACCATGTACTAAATTTGAAAGAGGTCAGTAGGGAAGTTCTATTCATATTTGCTTAGAAGTAAATCGAACTGAATTAAATGGTTCTTATTGTCTGGTAAATGGATCTAGGAGTACAGCCTAAAGGTTCTTTGACTAGCTCTAAAATAGTCCTTAATAAATTTCCTATGCAAATTTCAGAGTTCTGATTTTCTACTTGTGATTTTTTTATAGCTGATTTAGTGTAAAGTCTTGTTAGTGGTTTAGTGTAAAACGTTTGTTAAAACTCAGCAAAAATAACTGAAAGTTTCAGTATACTGGTGCTGTCTTATAAGTATTGGAAGAAATGAGACTGGAACTCTTTGGCCTTAGTTACAGAGAACCACTGTTCATTGGCAATCTTGTAGGGTTTGGCAACCATGGAAATAGTGAAGGAACAGATTGAAAAGGATTTGCATTTCAATTATCTCCCCATGTGGTTTAAGAAAAGCTATTCTAAGAGCCTGCAGTGATGGTGACAAAATCAGGAATGATCTTCAAGATAAAAGTAAACAGATTTCCCAGTTAAAAAAGCATCATTTGGTTTAAATTTGTACTTTCATAAGATGGAATGTACTTGAAGGTCAGTTTCTAGTTTTTTCTTCGCAAAATGTTATTGGACTGAGAAGATTTCAGTTCTTTTAGTTTCAGTGTTCATTTGAATATAGTTTTAATGCTTACTTACTGCCAAGTATTACTTTGCATGTAGCTTTCAAATATTTTCTAGTTTAAGCATTTTGTGGCAGCTAGTTGTGTTATGTCAAATTGTAAAATGTTGTAAAAGTTATTAGATGTTAGAGTCTTATTTGGTTTACTATGACTCAGTATATTTGATTTCTAGTTTAAAATGTTAACACATTGCTGATGGCTCTAAAATATACTGCTTAATGTTGTTATTATGCAGACTGAAGCTATATAGCTTAATCAGGAAAAGGGAGGAAGATAAAAAAACATTCTTGCCACAATTGCCATTAAGTACTGCTAATCTTGATTGGGTTTCATTATAATAATGAAATATTGAATAATGTTGAAAATAAAAAAAATCAGAATCTTGAAGTTCATAAAACCATCAATCACATTTATGATACAACTATTTATTTATAGTTTTAATGGATAAAAATGATGAAAGATTGTTAATATGACAGGATAAATGTGATGTTTTTGTTTTACCAGATCATGCCTCTGATGATTTACTGGGTATACTTTTTTGGAATTAAGGTCTGCTGCTCAGAGTCTGATCCAAACTGAGTCGGTTAGCTTGGAATAAAATTTGGTAGCTGTAGAAGATACATATTAAATATTTTAATATTTTAAAAGAAGAACATGAAGAATTTTCAGGAATGCTTTAACTTAGATTACTGACATGAGGACATGGGTTCTACCTATTGCGGTTTCTGGAAAACCAATACTACATTTCAGGATAAAAGTGATTTGCTTTATATTAACATGAGTTTGTATTAGTTTTGCAGTTTACTTGGTATTTTCTTTGAGAAGTTACTATTATAAACTTTATAAATAAGCTTTTCAAAGCTACTAAGAAAGTGTGACTCAAATTTGTTTCAATCAGCAGTACTGTTTGGGCAATTTATATGGCGATCTAACCTCTATTCTGTATGTACAGTTTTGTTTCCCCTTCTATCTTTCAGCTATCTTGTTTTTAAACTTTTTATATCTATTGGTGGTTTAACAACTAGAGTAAGCATTTTCCTTGTTTTTCATTTTGTTAAAAGTCCAGGAATCTTTTTATGTGAATTGATGAAATGGGATTCAAGTATAATCCTAATCCATAAATGTTTGGCTTTGCATGCAATGTGAGCCAAGCTGATTTTATCTTATCGAATAAACTATGATTAAGCAAACCATGGTACAGTTTGTAAACCCAACCTGAATGCAATTTAATATCAGGCTAAGAATACTAAGACCACTGTGTTCTTCACACTCAGTTAATATATTTGTGTCCCCAAATATAAAAGACCCTTTGTCTTTCATGCTGGCTATGGAAGAATAGCAATATTTATATATGATACATTAATGGATTGGTTATTTATTTGGCAGAAAACTGTAGATAGCCTGTATTTTAAAGACCTAGTCAGATCATAGCCTACCTGTGATTAAATATGTCACTGAGGGTAATGAGTTCTTTAAGGATGAGCAGTGGGAATTATTGATTGGTGAAGGTTAATTTGTTTATGAAAGTGTAGTTGGTCTGTATATGAGGACTAAGATTTTTAGATGATTGCTGATTTCTTTGATGGCACAATAATGACCCACAATACCTTGAACCAATGAGTAGCATCCACAAAGCAATGTTCTATCAAGTGAGGATGTGGTTCTCCTTTCTCCAGGGAGGTCTCCAATCAGTTTTGGGGAGGGGGTTCTGCTTTGTAGGAGTAAGTACCATAAGTATATAAATTATGAAGGGGAGCTCTTCTAAATCCCATCAATAAATAAGATATATGAATTTTACCCATAATAGATTGATTTTTAAAAGTTGTACATCATATATAGTTTCAGTGTTAAAAGAAAATGGAGACAGACAGAGACATAAATTCACGTCTTCGGTGTCAACTGAAAGAAGCTGAAGAAGAAAGAAGAAAAGCAGCACAGTATGGTTTAAAGTTGGTGGAAAGCGAAAACTTGCTGCAGAATCGGCTAGATGAAATGCAAAATGAAATGGTTACCATAACAGAGGTGAAATTTTAAGCATTGTATAAGAGTGTTTTGATAGATTCTACTCTCTGACATAGAAGCATTAATGTTGCTGTTGTGAAATAACATTAACATGTTAACATTAAAAAATTACAGTTCTCTGTATAGTCTTCTACACCAGTGGTCCTTAACCTTTCCAGCTTGGTGGCCTGGCATGGTGTGCGTGTGTGTGAGAGAGTGTTAAAGAGAGAGTGGCAGGTGTGGCTGCAGCTCCATTTGTGTGAGTGGCGTAAGCGGAGGGTCCTTGTGCTTGTGCCTGAAATTCCACTTGCACAAGCTTGGCCATTTTCTCGTGGCCCAATAGTGGGCTAAAGCCCAGGGGTTGGGGACCCCGTTCTACACCAGTTTTAAAGGTTTTGTAATGGAGTACTGTAATTATATTGCATTCATTAATAATGAGGTTAATAGTTGTTACCGTTACAAGTAATTCTTGACTTACATCCCATTCATTTGTTGACAGTTCAGAGTTACGCCACTAAAAATGTGACAACCAGTCTTTGCACTTAAAACCAATGCAGTATCCCCATAGTCAGGTGATAAAAATTTGGTTGCTTGGCATCTAGCATATATTACAATGGTTGCAGTATCCCTGGATTCATGTGATCATCATTTACAACCTTCTGTTGTGATTCCGTGCCAGCCTGTGTTCCCAACAGCTGAGTCTGAGGAGGATGTGGAGGAGGCTGTTGAGGGGCCATCAGGGTCAGAGGGAGGCTCTGATGAATTACAAGACTCACGGCTTGATGAAGAGCCTGGCCCCTCCAGTTGTGTTTCTGATGAAGCTCAGCTGTGTGAGGAGCAGGAGTCAGATT